GGTATATTGCAACGATTATTATGTGCTTCTGTGACGCCCAGTACAATTTTTATTTTATTGTAAGAGCACTGTCATATAATATCCAACTGCTTGTGTTTGATTTGTCCTAACGATAGATGGCCCAGACCCCAGGCTCATCGATGTTAGCCACACAGATATCTACCAAATAATTTGAGTCGCATCATGCGACTTTAAGAGTTGATGGCGCCGCGACCTCCGTCACCGCCAACTCAGTGGCATGCAGCTACGAGACAGCTGCGTCAGCGGACATCCCGTCGTGCCGTGAATGGTGGACAACTTCGTCGTGCTTCAATCGGCAGAGCCCCCCCCATTGCTGTCGCTGTAGGTGAAAGGTGCTGCCGCCGCCGCTGTTTTTAATATCAATTTGGCCACAGTCGCAAGAAGTGACATTTTCGCGAGTTATGGATGTGTAGCTTATACGGTACAACACTATATGTAGCGAACAATTGCATTTTTTTTTAATAAAAGTGCATAATTAGTCCAAGCAGTACAATTTTCAAATCTAACTGTGTCAGTTTGAGTGCAACTGACTCGCAGCTGTAATACTCAGATATTCAAAATAATATCGTATTTTATCGATAAGACATTGAATTATTTATAAAACTAACATTTGGAATAGCCTGGTATGAACGCCAGTTTAACTCTGCTGAACACTACAGACACTGGTTCATACTTCACCCAAAAGTTACAAAAGCTTCAGTGGGTATTAGGGAAGAGGTTACAGGCTGATAGTGTGCCGAGGGTGTAAATAGACAGGATACGAGTCAGCCTGAGCAGCAGTTTTGTTGGGTTCTGAAAGAAAACATAGAACTAAATTTGGACGAATACAAAATAAGGAGTCTAACCCTTTTTTTTCGGCAGCGTTGTAGCTCTCAAGTTTCTCGTGCGCAAACTACTTTCTTAGCATCATCAATACCAACAAGCGAGGTGAAGCTCCAAAGGTCGCGATTCGCTCGCAGAAACACGAGCATCTCAAAGTTCGCTGGCAGCAAACTTGACCGCCGTGGGGTGAGAATCAGCTTGCACTGTGAAAAGAGGCGCTCACATCGGTTGCTAGTCGGCGGTAGTTGGCTCAACAACTCGTCGTACTTCTGTGCTGACGCGTGACGAGGCTTCTTGGCTTGTCGGAGTGTGGCTGTAGCGAAGTCCACCTGCTTGATCGGCCGGGCTGAAGAAGGTTGGACGACCAGAAAGGGCTCCACAGCAGCTTCTTCGTCCACTTGAAGCCTGCGATCACCCTGAACTTTCACCACGGCCCGCTCAAAAACAGGAGAGTGCACAATACTGGCATCAGCCTTGAGGTAACTTGCCGTTACCGGGTACTTCACCACCACGGCGTCGAAAAGGAGCCGGACGTCAGCAAGCGTTAGCTCTTCGCTCTGTAACTTTACGCATACGATGTCAAGGTCACCCAGCTTGCTCAGAAGCTGAACAATGCGGCGGTGAGAGCTCGGACGTGGCACTAAATCTTCAACAGCTTGCACCATCTTAATAGCGTCTCGAATCTCGACGTAGCGCTTGAGCATCTCGTAAGTAGATGGTCAACGCGTCACGTTGGCCTTCAGCGGCTTGAGGCCCGTGAATGATGCCAGCGCAGCGCTGTTGTTTGGGTGTCGCAGCTGAATGCACAGAGCTTGAACTTCAGCGATGAGGTCCTCATACTCGGTGAGATACTCGCAAACCGCCAGATTGAAGCGGTGGCTTGCGCAGCCGATCAGGGGAACCTTGAGCCGAGTAGCCATAGCCTTGTTCGTCGGGCAGTTGTCACCGACGACGAAGCGCATCATCTCTCGGTTCTTTTTGTAGACACCAAGAACGTCTTCGATCATTTCGATGTGAGCATCGGCCGACTGCCCATCCTCAGCCATCGAAATAGACAGGCCCCCCCCCTGTCTCCGCACGCCGTCGCGAACACTAACGTCGAAGATGCCTGCAAAGTGGACTGTTCCGCAGGTCCATCCGTCAAACATCAAACCGAAGCTGTCCCTGAGAAGCCCAGCGATGGCAGCACTCACTTGCGAGGTCACCTGACGCATGTGGCGAAGAAGCGTCTGGGATGACACGGGCTTAATCCCAGCTAGTCCCCGCGTCAGCGTGTCGTCCACCTCCGATAACGGAAGGTTTCGCATGATCACCCACTCCATCCACTTGAATATATCCATCGTCCTGGCGTCAACGAAGCCGTGGTCTTGAAGCGTCTGGCCTTGTTGACTAGCCTCGAAGATGGCGAGGTGGTCTGGGTGCTTCGTCGCAAGATGACTGAGCAGGTTTGAGTAGCCGGACCCAGGAGCTTGTTTGCGACTCGTATTGCACTGCTTGCACATGAAGACGCCGTTGCCGCAATCCGTAAAGTAGAAGTTGCACACGCTGCGAGAAGTCGACATGGGCCCGAAAGATTGGAATAAAGAATGAGAGTAAGTCTTCCGCTAGCAGACGACTAACTAGAACCTCCCAGAACCACCAACGTCGAGGGACTTTCACACCAGTCAACTGGTAAGAAATCAATACAGTAATTACGGGGACAATTTGTATATTACAGACTTTTATGAAAGCCAATAATAAATTATTAAATAAATACAATGCTATAATAATTGTATTATATTTATGTTGTCAGAGCACTGTTATATGAAAATCATAATTGTTATATTCTCGCACAGTATGTGCGGTAAAAGCTGCACACAAGTCTAGCAGTCATCACTCTCAACCAGGCTAAGTATCATCCAAATGCAGGAGCGTAGCTGTGACAGACTCTACTTGCCGTATCAAAGAGCAATTTCCACAATCCAGTACAAATGCACCGTTTCATCCCAATTTAATAAAATGGCCTGTACGTTTATCACCAATCCAGTATCCTTGCATTAGGTCGCACCATTTACCAACTCAGTACATCTGCTAAGTTTGCATAAAGTAGCAGAGTGGTGGTAGTACGGCTGGTCTCCTAGCAGAATCAAACGCTTAGCAGTAGGCAGGTCTCGGTCCTGGCTGCTTTGGTATTACAGCACGTCAGACAATTAAAGTTTACCCAATTATATATGAACCTATTGTTATCGAAGAAATTCGCATGAGTGGCAGGTGTTTCTTTCACTGCACGAGCTACAGCAGGTGGGCCTTATCACACATACCGATGGGGCCACCATTGTGCTCGCACCTGTAGTCACCGCCTCGACAAAGGAGTTTCAGCTGATCCCACGACTTGTGCATTTCGGTTCCTCTCGCTCGGACGAGTAGCTGCTTATAGACATGTTAACCGTGATGATCTAAGTATGAATGAATCCTGTATGAGCTCTATACTGATAGGGCTGAAATTCACTATAATTTGAAATCTACACACGATTAGTTCTTCACTGGATGATTTCAAAACAATGGGTAGTATTTGTTAAAATTTCAATTTACAGTTAGCGTATTCTAGAAAGTCCATAAGCATGACAACTTGGTGTTCCCAGAAATACCGCTAACATACCGATTAACTTTGGTAGCATATTGTAATTACAGGTATCAACAGCTTAACAAAACTATCAGCGCTCAGGCCCTGGTGAACGTCTATGATGAGAGTCATATACACTAGGTGGATCTTCTTATTGAAAGTAGTGTTGCCAAGACAATTGGTGAAGGTGAGTCATTATGCTGCTTAGTACAAAAAGATGGGTGCAAACATCGCAAACACGAAGTAAGTGTCCATATAAGCCGTTAGTTAGACTAAATGATTGTAATATACAGACAATCCCCTTGGCAGTCATAGCGCTCGTAGCCCCCCCCCCCCCCCCAATTTATCCCTGTCTAAGGGTATTTCTATCCATGAATGTACCACCAAAAATGGGTCCGACCACCTTTAGCTTGGAGCAGTGCGCAACTGGTTATTAATGGAGACGATTGATTTAGCTCATTACTGGCGTTTCACCCTGTTTGGTAGATACCATCCTCTCTAGCCCAGCCAGTCCGCCGCACACCCACCAACACTCAACGACAACTGAACTAACATGCCAGCACTGGGTGTAGCTTTTTTTTCGAGGAAACAAAGTATGATTTTTGAGGATAATCGGAAACGGATGGAACGCGAGGACCTATGACGCTTGAGCGATTTGTCAAGACCTGTTGCACGTGATTTCCAGCCATTCATGCAACTGTACCAAAGACACTAGCTGGCTGGTTCTCTCAGGCAGTTCCAGTCGATGCATTTGGTTTTGAGGCTGGAGCTGTTCATGGACTAAACATTGTATGGTGTTCTGGGCTGATTTTGTGTAGTGAATTGAACGGCGGTGCATGATAATGCGTAACCAGCAGAGATGGACGGCAATGATATAGCAAACTCAAGCGAAAGCGACGTCGCGTTTGCGTCGTCGGACGATGAGGAGGTTGCACCACCCACCAGACGCCGGGTGTTTATGCATGTGGCGACAGTCAATACGCTTCGCAGAGCAAAAGCCGGTTCCGATACATTTGATAGCAGCACGTAAAGTTCTCTTACAACTATGGGAAGAAAGGTCACGGACAGCGTGTGTACAAATGCGTCTCACACAAATACTGCGGTAAGCGGTTTCGACTACCCAAGGATGGAGACGTAGAATTCACGGGGCCTTCAGGTTAGAAGTTGCCGATATGTTGCTTGGCTGTGGCTCGAAAAAGTGCCGCAAGATTCTTCAAGAACGATACGCTGCTCTTCCTGAACTGCGCAGCATTATTCCAGATGTAATGGGCTCGCTACGTGCCCACTACTTCGGCTTACACGTTAGCGCACGTGTATGAGGAAGTGCAGTTTGCTTTAACTTAGATTAACTATACTTACGTCTCGTAAGTATAGATTTACTTAAATAAGAAAAGCAAAAG